AGGGACAGAAGAGCTGACCAGAGCTGGCATCTCTTTAAGGACACTTAGACAGCCAGAGTTCTCCATCACAGTGTGTAGGAAATCAAGCATGTCTGAGCAAGGATTTGCTCCTCAAACTGAGGAGAAAGAAGAAAATTCACAGCCAGTGGAATCAGGGACAGGTGACCTGGGGAGGGTACAGGAATAGAGTTTCGATGTGTAGGGATGGGGTCAGGAAAGCTGAGGCACAGATGGATAAGAAAGACTTGAAAAGGGATGTGAAAAATAACTAGTACACAGCTCAGAAAATAAAGTCCAAGGAGAATGCACTCCCACTTCCAATAAATGAGAAGGAACTGATATCAACAGATATGGAGAAGGATGGAGTACTCAATGAGTTCTTCACCTCAGTTTTCACTGATCACTAGGCTTCCCATGTCTCTGAAGTCCCCGAACATCTAGGTGGGAGCTGGGGGAGTGAAGTCCTTCCCACTTACCAGAGAAAAGCAGGTTTGAGACCCTGATGAGGCTGAATAACCATCAGTCTATGGGACATGATTAGATGCATCCTGGCATCCTGAGGATACTGGCTGATGTTGTTGCCAGGCACTTCCCCACGATATTTGAAAAGTCACGGTCGTCAGGTGAAGTCTCCAGTGACTAGATAAAAGGAAACATGACTATTATTTTTAAAAAAAGGAGAAAGCGAGACCCAGGGAACTGTAGACTGATGAGCCTCACTTCTCTCTGAGAAGATCCTGGAGCAGATCCTCCTTGAAGATATGCTAAGACACATTAAATATAAGGACATGTTTCAAGGTAGCCAGCATGGCTTTTACCAAGGGCAGATCATGTTTGACCAATCTAGTGGGCTTCTGTGATGGAGTGACTGCAACAGTCAACAAACAAAGACCAACCAACGTCCTCTGTCTAGACTTCTCCAAGCCAGTGACACAGTGCCACACAACATCCTTGCCTCCAAATTGGAGAAAAACTGGACAAATTGTCTTAAAATTGGACATGGATTTTTGGTTTGTAAGGAATTGGCTGATGGATGTAGCCAGAGAGAGGTAGCCAATGTCCAAATTGAACTGGTGACAAGTGGTGTCCTTCAGGGCTATGTCTTGGGACCGGTGCTCTTCAATATCTTCATCAGTGACACAGACAGTGAGATCAAGTGAAACCTCAGAAAGTCTGGAGATGACATGAAGCTGAGCACTGCAGTGGACACACCTGAAGGATGGACCTGGACAAACCTGAGAAGTGGGCCCACCTTATGAGGTTCAACAAGGCCAAGTGCAAGGTGCTTGCACCTGGGTTGAGGCAATCCCAGACAGGGGAACAGCCTGGGAGAAGAAGTCATTTAGAGCTGCCCTGCACAGAAGGACTTGGGGGTTCTTGTGGGTGAAAACCTGTGGGCTCTCACAGCCCAGAAGGCTGACCATGCCCTGGGCTGTGTCAAAAGCAGAGTGGGCAGCAGGTAGAGGGAGATGATTCTGCCCCTCTACTTTGTTCTGGTTAGACCCCACCCAGGGTGCTGCATCCAGCTTTGGCATTTTCAGCACAAGAAAGACGTGGACCTGCTAGACAGGGCCATGGAGACAAGCAGGGGGCTGGAGCACCCCTCCTATGAAGGCAGACTGACAGAGCTGGGGTTGTGCAGCCTAGAGAAGACAAGACTTTGGGCAGATCTTATAGCAGCCTTCCAACACCTTGAGGACTTATAGAAAAAAGAGAGAGCTACTTTTTATGACTGATAGTGACTGGTCAAGGGAGGAAGAACTTTAGAATAGATTTAAATTATATACTCTAAGAAATTCTTTACTCAGAGCGTAGTGAGGCACCACAGCAGGTTGCCCAGGGAAGCTGTGGATGCCCCATCCCTGAAAGTGTTCAAGGCCACGTTGAATGGGGCTTTGAGCAACCTGACCTACTGGAATTTGTCCCTACCCATGGCAGGAAACATCAGGAGATGGAACCAGATCATCTTCAAGGTCTCTTTCAACCCAAGCCATTCTCTGATTCTATGAAATTATCCTTGGACCAGGACTCAGAGGCTACTGAAATTGTCACATTATCAAGAAAAGAGCACTCCCTGTTTGTCATTTTGCTTGGTGCTTCCTTTGCAGAAAATAAACACAACAAAACAGTTCTGGTGTTGCATAAATGCTCGAGGGGGGGGGTGCGGGGAAAGACTGTATCGTCCAGTGTTAACTGTAAATTTTAAACCAATATGTGTTGTAAGACTGTGTTGTTCTTAGGCACTCATTAATTAAATTTCCCATTATTTACTATCTTTATAAGTTTGTCTTCCTAGATTATATTTGGCTGTTCTTAAGAACTGGGCCACATCATAGAACAAGGGAAAATAACACAATTAAAAGCAATTATCTGATTTACTTTTGCACATTGAGCTGATATGTGTTCTAGAAGACATATTTCAATTACTCCCAATCTTGCTGCTTTGAAATAGCAGCTACTTGCAAAGCAGAACAAAGTACTGAGTTTTAGGAAGTGTAGTATTTGAACAGCTGTAGACAGTGCAGTGCAGAACTAAAATACACATTGCTTTTCTTTAGGAATGTAAGCATGTGACATCAAAAGCTTGTAAACAGCAGAAATTTCAATTGGCACGTAAAATTCCTCTCATTCATAAAATTGTTCACCTTCAAAAATCAAAAAAGAAAGTCTGAAACACGCCAATAACAGAAATCTCTTTGGTGGTGCTGTTTTCTAGTGAAAGATAATAGCTTAAAACATAATTGCTAGTAAAACAGTGGTTGCATAGAAAAGCAATAAAATCAGACCTTATTCAAAACAAGGTGTCTTGACGTACAGATTTTTTACTGTGATGGATGACACCAATAAAATTATATTTAAAATCATGTGATAAGTATGGTGTTTTTACTCTAAAGGACAGAGAAGTAGAACTCAAAGGCAGTTATGCTGAAATTAGGAAATTAGTAATAGCTGGCACTACCCACTGGACATCTCAGGTGTCATCAGCCTGGAGAAGACATGACTTGTTGCAGCTATCCAACATAAATTGGCTTATGAGAAAGAGAGAGAAAGCGGTTTTTTTACCAGGGTTTGTAGTGACAGGACAAAGGGTAACAGTTTGAAACTGAGAGAGGGTAGAATTAGGTTTAGATTGGATCTAAGGAAGAAATTCTTCACAACAAGATTGGTGAGCTGTGGATGCCCCATCATGGGAAGTGTGCATTGTCAGCTTGGACTGAGCTTTGAAAAACCCGACCCAGTACAAGATGTCCCTGCCTGTGACAGAGGGATTGGGGTAGATGATCTTTGAATGTCTCTTCCAACCGAAACAGATCTGTTAGTCCATGAAAATTAGATTCACGGATGTCCAAAGTCAAGTTGGAGAGCACCGGCTGGATCCCCTGTGTACCACTGGCCTTGCATTTTACATGACTTAATTATTACAGAACTTTTTTTAAGGGAAGTGCTAACCTGAACTTAAAGATTGCTAGTGGCTGAGAATTTATGAGTCTTTTATAAGTTGTCTCATGGTTACTTTTACTGAAAAAGAGAGCTTCTGTTTCTAGTTCAGATGTGTGAGTTCAAGTTTTTGCCTTCTCCCTTACGTTTGCCACTGCATTAAAAAAAAATCCTGGGTTTAAACTGTGAATTTGCATTGAAAAATATTGAATAAATGGACTTGTGAACAACACTGCCCAATCAAATTAAAAATGCATGGGTTTTATTTATGCTATTTGTTTTTCTCTGACTGTCCCCCAGTTTATCTGCACCACTCTTACCTGTGAACAGCAAAAATCTCTGGAGTAAGATTAGCTGCAATGTTAAAAGTACTTATACAATGTCTCTATCCAAGTACTTTCTGTTTAAATATCCAGCAATTCTGATACTAGAATTTGCACTAGCATTTTTGGTTTTTAACTTGGTTTGCATCCCTGGTTTTTTGTAGTTACAGCTCCCATAATGTCCATCTCAGTTCTATAAGCACAGAGCTTGTGATTTCCATTCCTATGATTTTCAGTGGATATTAGACTATGACAGAACTCTAGAAATAGAATTTCAAGCAACGTCAAAACAGATGTCTTACAGAAGTTTATTACACCAGTATCAATACTTAACCAACCAAATGTATAATTTCAATAAAAGAAATTTGGTAGGGTAGTTTCACATAGCCTGATTTCTCTAAGTCCACTTTGGTTACCACTGTTTTATCCTCTTTCATTATCTAATAATAATTTAAAGAATAGTCTTCTATTATTCTAAGATCAATGTCATTTTTTCTTAGAGTTTTTTAAGTTTCCCTTTAATCACAATTTGTTTAAGATCTGCTTTGGCACCTGGAGACCAATTTGACTGGGTTTCATTTGGATAGTAATATAACTGCAGAAGCTTGCAATTGGGATAATAAACATACCTATTCCCTTCTTTTAAAAGATTCAATGCTAGAATGTTAAAAAGAAAACATCAAGAGCAGTATATATTTTTCTACATGGAAGTCTGAGGAACATATCCTTCATTGCTTTATTTTTTTAAATATGACTGAGTTAAGTGGCATTCTACTGCACAAAGCTGAAAATACCTCATCTATAACAAAAAAACACCCAAGATGTAAAGATCATCTCACTTAACTGAACTCATAAGTTTAGAACCACTTCAATTCTTTAATTTGAGTCTAATTAGGGTCTAAATTCTCAAAATCTCAATCTTTTTAGATTAAAAAGTATTGATTTATTAAACAAAAAGTACATGTAAAACTAAGTTCCTGAAGGCCTACACTATATACACTTACATAATCATATGTAAACAGATTATTAAATAGCAAGCAACATAACTTTTTACCAGCAAACTTATTCTTACACAACTTGGAAAATGTCAATAAATGTCCACAAAATCCTGTAATCTGAAACCATTAATAGAAGACCTTTATCATCATTCTACTGATAGCATTAGCTCATACTGCTTAGTCCTTAAAATCTTATTTAATGCACTAGTATATTATAAGGCTGCTTAGCATAGAAGTTTCAATTACATTGGTACTTGAATTTGCAAACAGGTAAAATCTTATAATATGCTCGGGAAAAAAAAAAAACAGGAAAACTGCTACAACCTTCTACATAAAAAGTTGTTGAAACTTTAAAAAGTGAACTTTTTAAAAAAGAAGGACAATTTTCTTGCAGAACAGAAAGTAAATGCAAATAACTATGGGTTATTTGAATATTGTAAATAACTAAATGTGTTATTTGGTCTTAAAAAAAACAACAGGTCACATTCATTTTCTAAATTAGTCTATCCCCTCTTATAAAATCAAATCTCTTTATAAGATTATGTTTTATGTTTCACTGTTTCAACTGCACCACAGAATGTCTCCATCTTTCATCTGTGCCAGTTTGTGTTTTATCAGAGTGAATATTTATTTTCAGCAGGTCTAGATGCAAATTAGTGACTGCTGCTGTTGAACTTGAAAATAAATATGTTGACTCAAAATGTGAAACAGCATCTTGTAAAGGCTCTACTGCCCCTTGTTTTTATCTGCAGTTAGTGGGAACAACTACAGTAATAAATAAATAATTCCTTATGATTTTGATGTGATTCTGGCCATTTATATTTTCCAGTGTTTACTATTCAGGTGGATAAAAAGAGAATTATTCAGATATCCACTAGTGATTTAGAGGTTTTTGATCTTCAGAGCTGAAGACTGAGTAATACTTTCGTAGTGTAGGAAGGAGTAGACTCTGTGAAAAGAGAAAAAAGAAATATATCTCAGATTTTAGCTATGTACTCCAACACAAATAAATGAAACCCTTAGGCAGAAACAGCAGGGCTTGGTTTTATTTCAAAGGTACTCTGCAAATGATCTCTGTGACTTCACTTTAGAAACAGAGAGCACGAACACTCAAGTGCTCAGATTATGGACATTAAGGAACAAAAGTCCAGTATCAGAACATGAAAACTATTCTGAAGCCACATCCTGTGGCCTTTCTTCATATTTCTCTTTTACCAGGTGTCATAGGACCATTGTACAGATCCCTTAAATTATTCCTGCAAGGAGTGGAAAGATAACAAAAGATTGATTCCATTAAAAGTCATTTCTACACACAAACTCTCAAAGGGATTAAAATAGAGCCTAGAGGGTACTCTAGCTCACAGGAAACTCCCTTGGTATCCTAACATTTTACTAAAGACTCAATAGATTGACAGTTTCTTAATGATGGTAAATATAAGACAAAGTAGCAAAACAAATTAATATGCAAAGCTTCAGGTGCTATGTAATAAAGACAGAAGCAGAGATTTTACTATGATTGTACAGTGGTTAAACAGTTAGTAGTACCCTGATACAGATAATATTATTAAAGAATATTCTACCAGTACAAAGAGCCTTTCATATATATACTGTGCCTCTTTTTGAGGGGAAACCCTTCTTCAGGAATTCAAAATCACTAATGTTAATCCCAAGTGGGGTAATTAAATCTGGAGAATGAGAATAATCTTTGTATATATTATTAGTGAATTAAGACTAATGCACGTACAAACACACAATTAACTTTGTATACAATATCAAGTGTCCCAATTAGAGCTTAAATTTTTAACAAAACCCATTTGGTATTTTCACTGTTGGTCTTATTCAATACCATAACAGACAACTGCAGTTTAAGGATATATTGCTTGGACTCTCAAAAATAAATGGCCCCACCATATGTCTGCATTTATCTCCAAGGCAGCAGGAAGTTTACTGCAGATTAACACATACCCCTTTCCTTTAGGTCTTCAATGTATGCCTTCATAAACTCTTTCTCAACTTGCTCACGTTCACGTTCGGTTTCTATAATTTCCTCGGTGTCTTCACATACAATAGTTTCAACAGGACTGTTCTTGAGACTTACGAATCTAGACAGAGATTAGCACAAGAATATATGCTACAGGCTGCTGAACATCACTGGCCAACAAGAATGACATTGTAGGAATTGCTACTAGAGCCAGAAGGAGAAGTGTAAAGAATATCAGCTCAGATTTGCATCGCGGCATTGTTAGGATACATCTATTATTGGAAAAACAGATTTCAAATGGCACCTTCTCTATACTCCACTTTCCATATAAAAATTATCAGATTTATCCCTTCCTGTCTACCTACATAAATCATTCTCTGTAATAACAGGTATATTTTTTGTTATGGAACTTCTGACGGACTACACTGTAATTTCACATCTGTTGATAAGCAATACAAACTCCTTCCTAACAACATTGCCTAGCAATCTGGAAATTTGCCAGTATCACTTAAGAAACAATACCTACTTCCATTTTTTGGTTGTTATTACATTACTTCTCTTTTCCAATGCATGCCTGGACTTGCATTACATTGTATTTGCAAGTTTTCTAAGCTACATGTTGCAGGTGAAAAACTAAGCGGTTACACACACAACTTGTGTAATGTCCAAATTAAGTGCACAGCATTCTGAAAAACTCTGATTTTCACTCCAAGAAAGGAAAAAACATCAACAGAATTGTTACTTTCAGAAGAACAAATGTTTCACCAAATGATACAGCTTTCTAAAATCTCATGCATTGCTGTGAGTCTGTGATCAGTTGACTTTGGCTGACCAGGTGTCCACCAAGCAACTCTCTCCCTCTCCCTCTCCTCAGCAAGACAAGGGGAGAATCACAGAATCATAGAATCACAGAATCAGAGAATCTTAGAATCATAGAATCAGCTGGGCTGGAAGGGACCTCCGAGATCATCAAGTCCAACCCTTGATCCAACCCCGCTGTGGTTCCCAGCCCATGGCACTGATGCCACATCCAGTCTCACCTTAAAAACCTCCAGGGATGGAGAATCCACCACTTCCCTGGGCAGCCCATTCCAATGGCTGATCACCCTCTCTGGAAAGAAATTCTTCCTAATATCCAACCTAAACCTCCCCTGGCCCAGCTCAAGACCCAGCCCTCTTGTCTTGCTGAGAGTTGCCTGGGAAAAGAGACCAACCCCCACCTGGCTCCCCCCTCCTGTCAGGGAGTTGCAGAGAGTGAGGAGGTCTCCCCTGAGCCTCCTCTTCTCCAGGCTGAACAGCCCCAGCTCCCTCAGCCTCTCCTCACAGCACTTGTGCTCCAGTCCCTTCCCCAGCCTTGTTGCTCTCCTCTGGACCTGCTCCAGCCCCTCCATGTCCTTCCTGAGCTGAGGGCCCAGAACTGGACACAGCACTCCAGGGGTGGCCTCACCAGTGCTGAGTCCAGGGCAAGAATCACTTCCTTGGACCTGTTGGCCACACTGTTCCTGAGCCAGGCCAGGATCCATTGGCCTTCTTGGCCACCTGGGCACACTCTGGCTCCTGTTCAGCTTCCTGTCAATCCAGGAATAGCAGATGAAAAAGTTGTAGGTTGAGACAGCTTAATGAGAAAATAAAACCTCTGCACAGACGCAAAGCAAAGCAAAAACCTAATTCTCTCTTCTCAACAAGTAATGTCTAGCTACTTCCTGGGAAGCAGAGACTCAATACATGTAGCTGGTTTCCTTGGAAGAGAAAAATCTTAATAAAGAATGGCCAACCTTCCTTCTCCTTTCTCTTGGCTTTATATGCTGAGTATGACACCACATGGGTCAGCTCCAGCAGTGTCCACTCCCAAGCTCTTGCTCAGCCTCAGCTTATGATGCTTTGTAGGGGTGGGTTGGAGACACAGCCTTAGTGCTGTGCCAGCACTTCTCAGCAGTAGCCAAAACCACCTTTCTAGCTACCGGTGCAAAGAACAGCACTATGAGGGCAGCTGTGGGGAAAGTTAAATCCCTCCGAGCCTGGCCCAGTATAAGGTCTGAAATGGTTCCATAATCAAAGACCTGAACGTTGCTTGCAGAAATGCATGACCACCACACCTGTAGACTGAAAGGCCTCTTGGTCTTACCCTGCATGCAGCAATAAGGTGACATTTCACAGCAAAGAACTACTAAAATCATGTGACCTTATTTAACCTTTTACCAGCCACGTCTCCCTCTCCCAGCAAGATGCTTTTGGCAGCACTGAGCTTATCAACAACTAACTGCCAGGCTACTGGTCCTCCTCTGAGACAGTTGCTGTGACTCCATCTACCCAGGAACAGCAGTTTGGGCAGATGTACAATGCAAATAACTGGCAGGTGGCAATCAGAAAGGTGCATATATATATATAATTTCCAGTTGTTGTAGTGCCCCCTTTACCACTCATTGGCTCAGAACTTGTAGAAACTCATGCTCATGAAAGTGTTTCTCTTGGTTACATGTACCTTATCTTCTTAAGGACATTTTCCCTTTCTCTCTTACTTTTACTTACTTTAGGCCTGTGGTAGACTCACAGATGGCTGTGGGTACCTCAACCAGGTCGTCACCACTGACAACCAGCAAACTGAGCTTTGGCATATTGACAAGAGCTCGTGGAAGATAAGTCAGCTTGTTTTTCTGCAAGAGAAGTGTCTCCAATTGATCTAACCTGTAAAGACATAAAAAGATAAAGATGGCTTAAAATACTTATTTCAGACAGGAACATCTATCCAAAACAGCAATACTGACTTAATCTTCTGTATAATAGGATCAATTACGTGCAGCGTCTTTGGCTTCTCAAAAAATCACTCAAACCCCACTTTCAACAGATTTTCATCAACTTGAATGGAAATCTCCAGTCATGGTTCAACATTATAGATATTAACAGCACACCTCTGAAAAGTAATCAAAAGTATGCTCGAGATAAAAGGTTACAAAATTTACGGTGCTTTCATGCGGAAGGTGTTGACAGAAAATGATATAAAGCCTCATCATGTGCACCCTGGAACTAATGAAAAATAAAGGTCATCAGCTCACAGCTTTGACCATTCTATGAACTATGTATGGCTGTGCCAGGCAGCAAGTCCCCATCTATTGTTTTTCACCAGTAATTAGTATTGTGGGGAGCAAGAGAAAGATTAACTCCTAGTCATAATGCTCTTGCAAGCTGTCCCACCGAAATCAATTCAAAGACAGTGCTTCATGGAGGAATTTTTGCTTTATTTCCCCTGGCTTGTCCTAATGCAATAGAAATTTGGGGCTCTGTGTTTATTCCTTGGAGTAGGCAGAAGACAAAAAGCACAGCAAATCATTGAAGAAAGTTTGTCTTTTTTTTGACTGCAAGGATCCATTCCTAAAACACCGTTGCAGGATATTGCTTATCTGGTCCACGTGGTCTATTTGAATTCAAGTGAAGATATTAAGTAAGGAGTCACAGTTATTAATCACAAACATTGTCATTAATCACATTACTTTCGTGGTAGTTCACTGAGGTTCCTTGACACTACAGGCATTGAAGTCGTAAGCCTGAATAAGAGTATCAGTTCACTGGGGCAGGTGGCATATCCTGACATTTTGTAGTCTTCAGAATGCAAATGAGCCACAGGAATCTCAAAAATCAAAACCCAAAGAAAACCTTATTTTTTGGTGTCTGATTAAGGTATCTTAGTATAAAGTCTGGTAACTCAGAGGGAAAATGCTCCTTAGTTTGAGTGGGTATCCTTCCATAAAAGAACAATACCCTCTCAGAAGCATTTTGAATTTAATTAAATCTCTGGTCAGTCCCCCTGGAAAACAATGGCAGGTTTATTTTGTTTGTAACTAATGCATGTGAATTACTAACACAAAGTAAGACTTCAGTCCTGCTGTCAGAATAATCTGTGATTACACAATGTCCCAGAAAAGCCTTTTTGCCCAGCAACAAAGCCCTTGAGAAAGTTAAGACTGAATGAGTTTTCTGTGAAATTTCTTCTGCCTCAGGGATTTCTATTCCCAGATCAACAAATAACCCAGAGTATTTTTTTAATAGATTTTAGTTAATAAATTTTTTGTTTACTTTTGGCTGTGTAAAGTTTTGTAAACCAAGTCACCACAGGACTCCAGAGCGAATAAATAGGCCCAGGAATAAAAGAGCTTTCTCAGGCTAACAAGTCCCATTAAAAAGATAAGTGTGATTTTGCTTAAAACTAGTTCTAGTGGGCACCTAAACTGAAAGAGTGAATATATGTGTGCACATGCATATGCACTTCAGAGTAGAAGGGGAGGATTGTCAGTGGGGTTTTTTTAATCTTATCAGCATTTTTCTACTTTACTAATGAAATTTGTCAGGTTGACTCAGTAACCTGAATATGCTTTAGTTTATCTTTTCCTCCTCCCCACCTTACCCTCTAGAGAGCTACTGCATCCAGCTCCACATGGTGAGTCCCCTTTGCTGGACCTGGGGCAGAATAACCCTACAAATTTCCAAAAACCATTGCTCAGATATAATGATAAATTACCATGAAATCAGAGGAAAATGTATTTAGTTAACTGATTGCAATCAGTAAGCTAGAAAAAGCAGTTTCTGTTCTCTGACAGAGCCCATAAACAATAATGGAATGTTTACATGCAAAAATATCCACATGTGGGTTTTTTTCATGTGGTTTTTCAATAATGGTGTTTCTTGGAAGCTTGTGAATTTTCTAAATGACTTAATAGTTCATAAACCTGTCAGCGAATTAAAACATAAACTACCTGTCTATGTCTTCTGGGAGATCTTTCAGGTTGTTGCTGCTGATATCCAAGCACTGCAAATTAGACATCCGGAGCACACAAATTGGAATAGAATGGAACTTGTTTGCTGACACATCCACGACTGTGACTTGTTTCAGGTTACTTAGCTGGAAAGAAGTAGTGCTCTATGTTAGTTAAATTTGGCAAATACAAGAAGACATTTCATTCATCAACCATTTTTATTCCCCTCAAAGCACTGAGGAAGATAAGAATTTATTATTTTTTTACTCAAATTTTTGCCAGCCTTATCTCTTACTCATCATTTCACAGGAGAAAGGGATTCAGAAATAGTTACTTCCCAAAGTGTTCATCACCTTTCTAACATCACCAGGGGATTGAATGAAATGAAATTTTCAGTCTTTAAAACCCTACAGTTTTGAGATGACAAGTTGAACCAGAAAATTACTTGGTTTTGAATGACAAAACACAATTTATATAACTAATAGATGCCAAGTTACTGTTCTCAAAATCAGAGATTTGATAACTCCTATCAAAATTACATAGGTTCCCATTGCTATAACTCTATTATACACTGAGAGTGCATTGCTAGGACACCATTAGAAAATTAAACTATCAATTTAAGCCAACAGAAAATTTGGTCCAATATTTTTCAAAGATCTTTAAAAATACATCTTCCATACTGCAAACTAAATATATAATAAGAGCTTTTTATTTGAATACTTTCCAAAGGAAGTACATTTTTAAGTAATAAACCTTTAGTGCAATGAAGGTTAACTACAAATGTAAAATATATCTGTTTAAGAAATTAATGTGTTAAATTAAGTTCTCTCTGTACTGAATCAATTATTCACATTATCGGTGTTCATAAAACCATGCAACTAGCTAAAGTGAATATCAAAGGAATATAAATGTTAATCAAAAAAGCTGGTTTAGAATGGAAATTACATTTCTGAGCTTCTAATCTGATGTCACCATCAACATCTAGCCCTACGGGTCCTGATACAGAAAGAAAAGTAGCAAAAAAAAAAATTCCTTGTCCTTTGCTGAAGGTATCTCAGAATGTAGAAAAGTAGGAACAAAAACCCCCAAAATATTTTCCACTTCCAAAGTAAGCAGAATGCATGCAACAGCATAAATGAAGGGAAAAAATCAAATAGTAATAAAAAACATCCTGAATAATTGAAAATTATTTTCTTTATTCGTATTTACTAATTGGTTTTTATACTTTCTGTTCAAACTCCTTCTTACTGTAATATTGGTAGATTTTCATCTGAATTTGACCATTGCAATGTAGACTGTAAATTTTCCTGATACTGAATCTTTTTTCCAACAAACCAGAACCTCCTTTTGAACAAGGAAAGCACAATGACTATTCCGGATTATAGCAGCAAAAGAACGTAGAAAATAATTGGCAGCATTTTTATACCATGTTTTCTTTGTGGTTTCAAATTATCATCACAATTTCAAATCCCAAGTAAATATTTCAAATTTCTCTGAACAACCTGAACTCAGAGCAATTTGCTAAAACTGCTGATACATTTATTTTAACAAGTTCTCTCCCCACAAAAAATTTTGCATGTACAGAATTAAAGCAATATCCCAGAGGCTTAAATGCCAAAATGGTCTCAAACCATTCCCAAAGAAGAAAAGCCACCTTCTCTAAACACAAAGCAGCAGATATAAATATATAAATATAAAATATTTAAAATATTTATATAAAATATATAAATATAAAATAAACTGACATTACTGTTCACCCAAGTTCTTAAACACTTTGCTTTCACATGCTGGAATAACCTGGTAACATTAACATTAGATGGTAAAATTATATTTCTTCAACAGCAGTAACTAGTCTTATACGTTTTCCTAACAGTGCTTTATTGAATTAAATATTATAAGCAATATTACCACAGCAGTATTTTTTTTAAGAAACACAGCTGTTTCCTCCATTTTTTGTATAATATGGAAAAGATATTATTTTAATACTTTAATATTGATTAGATTAAAACATACATTTTTTCAGGAGTTTGTATTCCCATAAAAATGTGCCAACAAAATATAAGGTCATGGACTCTACTGATACAAATTTTGGTTCACCATGTCACAGAATATATGGAGCCATGATTATATCATGTATGCTGCAAGTCCTCAGCACTTGTTCTTTTAAGGTAATATTTAATAAAACCTGTCCATCTTCTAGAAACCTAATGGAGTTTTTAATTTAATCTGTTTCTGAGGTGTTGCCAACAAATACCTGTGACAGACGATGCCTTGGAAATTATGGTAGCTGTGTATTATATTTCCTAATGAAAACCCTGTGTATTCTATTTCCTCTTGAAGAACTGATTGATTCCTTCACCTTTTATAACATTTCATTTTCAAACAAGCATGTCTCCCTTATCACATTTATGTTATCATTTATTTTGGCTTGATGTTGATTTTTGCTATTTTCTTCTATTATGTGACTTTGAATCAATCAGTATATGGGCTTTATGCAGGTTCTATTTAAAAAAAACAAAAAAAAAGCTATGTTTAATCATCTAGCTACCTGGACACACTTATTGTGGTATCTATGTTTAATCATTCTTGCCATTTTTATTTGACACACTGCTCCCTTTAACCTACCTTCATAGTTTTGTTTATAGAAATAATTCAGATAACTTGTAGAGCTCCACTGCTATTCTTTCCCTCTGGCAGTTAAACCTTCAGTTGAAAGAAAAGGACATCATGTCCTGGGCTGAAAAACTGTTTGATTAACAGGTGTGGTTTTATTTTTGTCCTGCTTTTTTTGCTATGAAAAGAATTTACTGGTAAGGTTGGCCGAAAGTTTCTCATGAGTTGCCTACTACTTAGCAGCAACAAATTAAAAGGAATAAAGTTGTGTCAAAATACCATATTTTTCAGTTACATTTAAATATTCTGTAACAGAAACGGCAACCCACTAAGTAAATTATGAGAAGATATACAAAAGGTTTGACACAGAAATGTCTATCCATGCATCACAAATGTGCTTTTGCCCTGAAATTTCAAACTCAGTGAAGTCAAAGACTATTTGTACCACTTCAGTAGTATAGGTTATCACTTATATTGCCTTCCAAAACATATGTTGCCTCCCAAAACACATTGATTGGGACTCTGCATCTCATTACCTTACTGAACACAGTGACAAAGGAGCAAAGTGCACAGTTGGCCACTTAGTTCTTATGCATTCAAACCAAATTCCCAGCTTTTCTTTCACCAGGCTGTCAGTGCAACCTCTTCTATAACCTCCTTGATGTTCATGGAGAAAAGCACTAATCACAGAAACAGGGTACAAGCCTCTCTAGAGGAGTCAGAACATGTCTTTCAAAAGATATATTTGTGCATTTATAGCCCAGCCCACCATCTGACTTCCAAAGTGGACTCTTAATGAGACAAAGGCATTTCACGGTAAAACCCACGCCTTGAAAACCAGGTACCAATCCATGTATTTTGTGACAAAACCCTTTGAAGCCCAAAAAAATATGTGACATCAAAAAGGACTTCATTTGGTGGTGTCTTGGTAAGATAAATCCAAGAAACGTTAAGTGGAAGAAAGCATTCAGCCAAGTAGTGTCAGTCTGATTTTGCAATGCTAGAATCCTAAAACTTTTGTAGAGTTAATTCCCAAACAGAAGCTGTTATTCTTATGCCAAACTGTTTACTTGGAAGTTTAACATCGCCCCCTTTCACCACTTATCATTTCATCATTCAAATGCATTCTTTCAAGTTAATGTTTAATGTCCAATAGAGTAATTATAGCTATGATGACCTAAGCATAAGTTCATAGAAAGAAACTTCCCTTATTATTAAAGCAGGTTTTTTGTATGCACAAACCTTTAATCAGGCCTTTAATCTTTAATCAGAAAACTGACTTTATTCAATATTCACAAAATATATGCAATAAATGCAACATATGCAATATTCACAAAAATATCAGATATTGGTCATTTGCAGGTGATTGAAGGTGACCACACACAAGGTGACCACAAATGATCACAGAGCAATGAGAGCAGGACTGTCGTCACACAGTTAAAATCCCTAAGAATGTGGATCATCTGTTTAAATCCAAGTATAGTAGCTGTTCCAAGCCAATAGATAAGTGCATGAAATTAAGTACCCAATTAATGATTTCCTGGGCTGAAACCAAAACGAGTCTGCTGTCTCAAAAAATAAATTTATGTTGATTAGTTACATTAAATTTTCATAGCATTACTGCTGCAGCTCCACACAGTCTGCATACATTATTGCATTTTGCCATCATAAAGTCATCTCAGCTTCAAATCTCCAAAACTTGTAAATTAAGGACACACATTAGAAGAGAAGACTAGGCTCCCTGAAAAGTCAGTTACACATTTCTCATCAACTTAAATAGATCCACTTTGGGAATATACTTATCATATGTTTTAATTAAAACCATTAGAAGAGGAAGAACAGCAATGTTGGTAGCAATGGGCGTTGACTGACTCTCCAGAATGTTTGGAGACAAACTGTCCTTGAATCTATCAAAAGACCCTTTTAAGATATATTCTGTGTTCCTTCACCATGAGATGACCAAAATTGCTCACTTTCACAACAGAATATAATAAATAATGGCCAGTCTTCGCGAGCGAAGATTTGGGAAAGGTCATTAACCCTTCGAGCCTGCGCAGTGGATTTTTTAGGTGAGACACAGCGTGCGCTGAACTGAGCCCACCCTTTAATCCTGAGGTTCATCTGCCGGGGCCGAGCAAGCTTGGACAGTGGCAGTGAGAGTCTCAGGACGTAGGTTTGTTTAGAGTGACCTTCTCTTAGATGGATTGCCTCACAGGGCTGACGAGCTCCATCTGCCCGGGGGGCCGGGAATCGAACCCGGGTCGCAGCAGTGAAAGTGCTGCACCCTGACCACTAGACCACCAGGGGCCCCCTACAACAGAATATAAACAAAGCCCAAAACCACTTTTCATTTCTGTTCTAAAATGCATACAATTGAAGAGATGCTATTCAGATTGTCATCTTAATTATCACTTAAACATGTACAACAATTCTGGTTTGCCATGACAATACACTATAGCCTGTGAAATTACCTTTCTGATTTAAAAAAAAACGGAGTACGTTCCTTTAAGCTTCTTCTGAAACCCAGAATAAA